TTCTGCTTGGTTTAAAATGCAAAGAAAAACCAAAAATATTAAACATTAATCAATATTTATTTATATCAATTGGCAGGCGTCTTGATGGTTATCATTAGTCCATTAGTTGACTTCAGGCTTCACAGAGAGGAGGAGGAATATCAAAGTGAAAAAAGTTGAGAGGGGAGGGTTGGGGGGAACAGAAGTGTTTCAAAGACAAAGGTAGAAAAAGGTAGAAAAAAGGTGTGGTGAGTACTGTGGAAGTAGTCGAATATGACATACAGTGGGGTGATGGTAATTTGAAGTGAGAAGCCAACTGCCAGTAAATAGACTCCTACCGTATGAGTATACGTTGCCCAGGGTACACCACGTGGAGGTAAGTCTATTGCACACTCCACGTCTTCGTCAATATTATTATTATTATATCAAATGGCAGGCGTCTTGATGGTCATCATTAGCCCTTTAGTTGACCTCAGGCCTCACAGAGAGGAAGGTACATCAAATTGAAAAAAGTCGAGAGGGGAGGGGGAACGATAGAGTGTCAAAGATGTAAAGAGACAGACACATAGGTAGAAAAAAGGTGAGGTGAGTACTATGGAAGTAGTTGAATATGACATATAGTGAGGTGATGGTAGTTTGAAGTCAGAAGTCAACTGCCAGTTTATAGACTTTTTTGCCGTATGAGTATACGTTGCCCAGGGTGCACCACGTGGAGGTAAGTCTATCGCACACCCCATGTCTTCATCAATATAGAGTTACGTATAACTGCAGTCCCGTTGTGCATCTTGTTTATCGACAAAATAAAAAGGATTCCCAGAGCATTGAAAATCGCATTGGTCGTAAACATTTTTATGCCAATTGACGTTTGACAAAGCGTTTGTGACGTTTTGTGTTATTTTGTCAGGTTGGGTAATTGATTATGCAACCTATTTTCAAACCTTAACGTGGAAACATATTTCTAACTGGAACAATTTTACCAAACGTTTTTAAAGTAATTTTAACGTTTAGTAAGTTCTCCCAAATGAGATTATAGTCTTGAATTTGATAATCATGCTTTTTTAGTTATTTTTTTAAATTCTGATCAGTCAATCAGTCACCTAGACACTATCGAGAAAAGGAGCTTTAAGCACTCAATTTCCAGATTTTCAGATTGCAACTGAAGTAAGTTCACAATCCGCGAATAATTCAAGCCCTGAAGAGAACGGAGGAGGGACCCATGTGTAGTTATTACACCAGAATTTGCTAACTGGATTTTCTATTGCTGGTTGACAATACTAGCAACGTTTTTATTAATTTCTCCACTTCTATATAAATATCAAAATTTTAAGTTAGAATAGATAGATGCAGAGTTCATCTGCAGGTAGTTCACCTTGAGTTAGACTAAAATTACCATATAGTGATCGATTGCTCAAATATTCTCTCCATTTCGGCAACGGTTGAATTGGAATTTTTTAACATTTTCCTTGTACTGTACGCCCAAATACCCTTTTTCACTCATAAAGTCCACTTACCAACAAGTAAACTTTCAATTTTGGAATGCAATTTGTAGAATAAATTCTTGACTCAATGGTTGTGCGATTAATCAAACCATTTGCTTTCTCGTTTTAAATTCGGGTAGAAACACGCCCATATTATTTATCTATTCTCTATAAAGTTCACATGATGTGACTAATTATGGTGACTTCAAATCCATGTTTTAAAATGTGCGCTATTGTTCCAAGCGTGTTCATGAAGATTTTATGTTTGCCATTAATGCAAAGATCTATGATGTACCATATAGGCGTTGGTAATATTTATTTCGCAACATAATCACTCAAATATTAACCTAAGCTTCGAACCAATTCTTATGATTCAGAGATTTCCTATAATTTGTGTCAGAAAATATACTTTGCAGTGGCCATCAATGTATACGTCAACCGAGTCAAGGATGATGAGAACTACTTTGATAATCACACGTCTAATGTTAAGACAGACTGATCGCTGGAGAAGAGAATAGTTAAAAACTTTGCCTTCATGGGCTGATGGAATTCATTTATATGGAAATAGGCAGTCGTATTAATATTTGGTAAACAGGAAAGAATTCGATTTATTTGCGTGTAAGTATTTTTTGGAGACAATCGTGTGAAATGTGTTTTAAATCAGGCTATTTTTACATTTTTATTCAGGGTGACACCCTTCATAGCATATGGCTAAATTGGAATCTAATACTCTTATCGATTTCGCTCAAATTCTATTTTTTGACATTTTTGAGATTCTGCCTCACTACGTATTTTCGTAAATTTTTTGCTATGCATAATTAAAATTAGAAATTAACAAGTAAAGTACAACGTGTAACTGCATTATCTAAAGTTAATGAACAATGTTTCAACAACAGGCCTATAATTTATATATAATAATTTATTAAGTAGCACAGTCATGTAGTTTAGCAAGTTGTTCCGTACTTCATGATTGAACACATAACTTATAGTTTTGCATAATATTTGTGAGAGTCAATCTTCGTTCGGTATAAGTATTTATTTGTTAGCAAAGAAAAAGTGAAATGAAAAGAAGCCAACTTTGTCTGAGATTCAGGTTGAAGTTGTATTATTAATCTAAATATCGATCAGTCTTGCGCCACCTTGTTGTTATCTTATTTTCATTAATTAAACTTGAGTGGAAAGGATTTCAAGTGATTTCATTACGGCACTATTACCTAAATCTTTCAACATCTTTCTTCTGAACAGTTTGGAGGCCATTTTAGATCGAGCGGTCTATCCACCGGTAACTCATCATTTTACTTCCACTTGCAGGGTCCCAATTTGTCATCTCCCTTCTGTTTACAGCTTTTAGAGGCGATTGATTTTCCATTATAACGTGAATAACTTTCACTGCAGGATTGATCAACTAAATTTTGCCTTCTTTTATCCAAACACCTATTTTGCTTTGTAATTGAAAAACTAATATCTTATCTTCCCAATATGGAGTTTGGAAGTATGAAGTTTGGTGGTATTTAGTCATTCAACCAAACAGGTAGTTCTCTTCTTAACAAGTAAAGTTTAGACTAATCAGCAATTGGCCAAATGAACTATAGACACTTGTGTATTTTAGCAGTCACACATACGTAACAAGGGGGTCCAGTACTTTCAGTAAAAAGGCTCAATTTCTGCGTTGCGTAAAAAACTATCGTAAACACGAATTCCAATTGCTTCCTTTATAAGAAGTATCAAAACTTGAGATATGTGAAGCTTTTAATGTTAGCGAGCATTCGAAAATATGACTTATCACGTAATCCCAATTTAATGGAAAAATAAAATAAATTTTCACTGAAAAATAAGTCCTGGAATTCAAAGTGAAACGCGCATATAAACAATAGAATGGCTTTCCTTTGATGATGCCTCTGTTTAGTTATATATTATGCCAATATTTCATGTTACAAATAATATTTTATGAACAAAATGCTTAGTCAAAATAAAGAAAATTCATGTATGACTGAGTTTTAGCGCATCTTGGAATATAAAGTGTATAACTCTTAAGTTATATTCTTTTTCGTCACATTTGATTTAAGTGAATATTTTGAAATTCGAGCTGGATTTACCTTATAGGGAAATGGGACATATGAGGCATTATAGTATTTTGGTTAATTACTATTAATTCCTAAAGAAAATATAACAAAATAAATCTAAGCAAAATGTCTGTTGTAATCAGTCAAGCTGGTCATCACATGAAATTCTTTATTAATTAATTGTTTCCCAGTTATGCATCTATCCTATCTGACTTTACCTTCCAAAGTGCAAAAAAATTATAACGTTTGGTTCGGCTCTTTTATTTTTTATGGTCACAGTTGCATAGACTCCCATTGGTCATGTTATTAACAAACGATTCAGACCTAAAATGCGATCTTAACAGTTTGTGATTTGAAAGCTAAGAAATTGTCAGGCATTGAGGCTCGCGATTGCCAAACACATCATAGTTATGGAGATACAATGGCATGGTGATTTGTGGAACATATTGTTTCGGGATAATTTTGACACATCTCATCTAATATGCAGTAAAATTAAGGACCAATAAAAACAATAATATTAGTATGATGCCATCATACAAATAAAAAAAACAAAAAAATCATTATATATGTGTAGTTATTAAGAGATAGTTTGGTTCAACAACAATAACAATCCGATTCCCCATGCGGTCTCATATACTTTTATTTCATCCGACAAATCGAAACTTTGTCAAAATGCGTGCATGTCACTAATACGGTATTGATAGAAATATCAGTTTCGGGTTTGAGAGCCGCCAGAATATCCTAGCATATTGCGGAACAACTTTTTGAGGACATACTTGGCATTTATCTTCAAAAAAGTCCTAATTAAGCTGAATATATTCTAACATAAAATTAAAAGATTCTGAAGACCCTTTTTCATAATGCATGCTGGTATGCGAATTAGTCAATCAACAGTGATTATTACGAATAATTTACCCAATATTAAGTTTATAATTTTAGACCCGGTCAGAAGTAGGCCATGGAAGCTAAGCTGATATTGTTGTAACCGTTGAACTTTTGCTTTATTCTAAATTAGTGTTAATAGATTTCATGCTCATGCAATTTCATATTAAAATAAACAATTCATTGGTAACGTCTAAAGTTTCTAGGATTTTGGGGCATTTATATACGTTTGCATGCAGAAGGTATAGATTCGTACTTGGGCATTGTCAATATTACTTGACAAAAAGCAATAAGACTCGACTTAAAAATATGTAAATCGCCCACCAGGAATAGTCATTATTTAAGAGGGACTGACAAGCACAAGCACAAACACACAGGCATATGTTTATATATGTAATAACAGCTAACTTCGTTCGATGGTTTGTCATAAGAGACTATTTAAAACAAATTAATATTTATTTCGTGATTCAAATGAATATTTATGGAAGTTTTCACCATCTAGTAAGAGTTAAAATTGAATTATATTTTTAAAGGGTATGTCCTCAGTCCACCAAATGGTTTGTTTATATTATTATACGTGTATTAGGTATATTTGGAAATGTCTGGCAGGTTCTGTTACTTCTTATTTGGGATCTTAGGCATTTGTGCTATTTCTTCTGAGGCCATAAGTACTTTGGATTTATTTCATTTAATATTTTTAGCTAATGTTGTTACATATGGTTCGCAGTTAAAATTACTCAATACGGTTTACAACGTCCGATTACACTCCCACGATATTGGCTACGGTTCAGGTAGTGGACAGCAATCTGTTACTGGTTTACAAGACGTCACGCAAAAAGGTAGCTATTGGGTGGTACGTTTTATTAAATTTGAAAATGGTTATTTCCCCCTATTCATTATGATATCAACACAATTTTCGTGTTTCCAGATCCACAAAGATCACCTTACTGGTAATAATTATTATCGTGGCGAGCCCGTCAAATGTGGTCAGATTATTCGTTTGACTCACATGGAAACAAATAAGAATCTTCATAGCCATCATTTTCAGGCTCCAATTTCTCGAAACTTGGAGGTCTCCGCTTTCGGTACTAATGGAAATGGAGACGAAGGTGATAACTGGGAGCTCATTTGCAGTGGAGATATGTGGACAAGAGGTGATGAGATTAAACTCCGACATGTTATCACTGCGTCGTATGTGTTGGTCTATTTACTATCGTTCCCATTTATCTCTCTTAAACCCTGTTTATTCTCTTAGATACCTACACGTAAGCGGTAACACCTATCAGCATCCAATTCCTGGCCAATTTGAGGTTGCAGCTTCATCGTCAACTTATGGTAGCGTCTGGAAAGCAGCTGAAGGTGTATTTATTCAGCCCTCAAATATGACTCTCAAATCTAATGGGAAGCATCACGAAGAGTTGTAAATTGCAATCGTAAGAGTTCCTGTAAAATGACTATTTATGTCATACCATGCGTCGTTAATTTGGTTCCCTCCTAATTTTTGTTATGTTTTACGGGTTGGATTATTTCCGTAGACACATAAGCTGATGTACCTGACTTATGTTTTTTTAATACACTTCTCTGTATTGTACTGTATTATATTTAATTATTTTATGCATCGTGCCTGATATGTTCTATCATCCGAGTGATTAAGGTAAAGATGGAAGAGGATGTGTATCAAGATAACTGAGTTTATGACATATTTTTAGATTGTATTCCTCTGTCCTTGCTTATTAAAGGTTGAAAATACATTTTTTGTATTTTAATGCTGATAAATTAAGAAATGTAGGCTTTAAATATATTGTCCCAGCATACACCAAACCTATTAATTTTCGTATCTCTTCTTTTATTGATTCTTAACAGTCATTACAACTGTCAATTTGCTTTAATGTTTTCCTGGCTTACAATGGAGACTAATCGAATTAACTTGGCTAGAAATCTTAATGTGACCGTTTATCTTTGAATCGGTACTTATTCAAACTTATCTCTTTCGATATTTTCCGCCTTAAAGATTAGGTACGCTTTGTTGATGTCAGCAGTAATTACTGTAATTTTCATTAATCTTGTCTTTACCCAATTAGATGTGTAAACTCCCATTTTCACCCCAAAATAGTCGCGATTTCACGACAGAATTGGTTTTCTACCCTGACAACCCTAGTAAATGAGCCAGCTGACAGCTGACTTGACATTTATTGCTAGATTAAAAACGATAAGAAAATGTTTAAAGTTTTTCATCAGAACGATATTTTTGCATAATAACCTTTAGCAATATTTAAGCGCAGTTTGATCAAAGAGTGAGTCCAGGCAAAGGCCCGCGAGCGCTCGCATAAGAAATTAACAAAGGAAAGAAAACAAGAGAAAAAACCAAAGAAAGAATAGTGGGGATGGAAGAAGGGAAGAAGAAATATAATAGGCTTATTCTCTTGCATCATAAGTTCCTGTCTCTTATCACAGACTTTGGAAGGAATATTCAAAAAAAGAACGAGTTGGCAATGTTTCATCGCTCAAAAACGGTGTTCATATTATTTGTGGAGGAAGTTCTTGACCGTGGGGATGTTGGTGTTGTTACACCACTGAAAGCGTTCAGTAGATTCTTTGCCTGGGCTACACTAATTAGACGCTCCCATTGATTCAACAGGACTGCGCCCTGAAAATTGAAATCAATTGGTCATTGTAACGTCTTAAACGGTTGAGATTATCAAATTTTACCACGCGGTTTGTGCTTTTGTCACTTAGTATTTATTACTTATGTTTATGCTATCTATACTGTTAGTCACTTTGTCCAAGTACTTCGTCTAATCGTGTTGCCAAAAACAATAAAGTCGTTGAATGAATGAAGTCTGATTTGGTCAGTTTGGTGTGGCTAAAAGAACTAATAGTATCGAATATTGTTCTGAAAATTATAGCGATTCCGCTTCAAGGCTATTCAAATGAGAAAAGTGAAGCGTGAAATTGCCGATAGTATACGAATGTTCACACAGAGAGGCACAATCCTCTTGAATTTTCGGGTGGATCTAAACTTTTAAATAAGTGACATCGAAATGTTAGACGTCACGAATTAAGGGGGGGGGGCGAATTAGATATGAATAGCAATCGAAGTTTGAGGTCCTACTATAAAAGCAGTTTAAGCTTTAAAGGCATCAGAGACGGAACCTCGATATATGCACTCGCAAATTTAATACCTAAGAAACTGATTACTTAAATCAATATAAGTAGCAAGGATATCCATACCAAGTCTGTTTTGAAGGTCCATATTGAAGCATCGGGATCTTGTCCTGAAGTGGGCAAAAAATGTCAAAAAGAAATTAACTCATAAAAGTCAGCGGATTCCAATAATTGCTTACCAGCAACCTCGAATGAAAAGGTATCCTCATCTTGGATTCTGCACATTTTCACTTGATCAAGGGGAATATGGTGCTGCAGAAAATGAAAAATGACGAGTGAACGACTAAGATGGGAGCTAGTTTTCTTACCGATTTGGAACCGAAAGTGATCTTGAACCCATTAGGGTCGAGGAAGATATTGCCCGGCTCGCCTGTCTCCTTATTGACAACATTCACGTTTCCACCCAACTTGTCCACTAAATCGTGCGAAACAAAGGTTTTGTCACTATTTGTTATCATTTAATAATAGCAATAGTTAACTTTAGTCATTATTACAACATATTCTAGTAGTAGTCAGGGTACTATTATTGAGTTTATTGGTTGTATCAAATATAGGATTTGGACAGTGAGGTGTGTAGCTGTCATAACCGTGTTTAGTGATGGAGAGCAAGCTTATGAAATTTTAAGATTTTGTTCCCGATATCAACAGTTTATACATATGCTGCTCTATCTTAAAGGCCTGAGCAACGGGGAAAATTTGATTCCCTTCACGAAAAATTGGACAGCAGAGTTGGATTTAAATATTGGCAGTTTCATAAGCCCGTGTTGTTTAAATGAATTCAAACTTGTCTAGTGTAGTGGAAGAAGGTATGCACCCTAAAATGACCAAGTTATGCAGATAGGATGAAGGCACCGATCCCATTTTTGGACTTGCAGGATTGTTAATTACAATTTGCTGAGTTACGTCCTCTTCTTATTCTATGGTAGACAAAATGTCATAGAGAATGGTAATATGAACAAGAGTTGCAGAGCTGCTAATTGGCAAAACTAGACAGATTTTCCTAAGGCGGCAAGATGTCACCAACTTCTACAAATTTTCCGCAACAAAGCCCATCTTTCTTTATCCATTAAAAACTAGTTGGGGATATCGATGAGAAAGATCATCTCTTAACAAGACACTACTTTTTCCACTGAAAGGGCACGGTCCTTGTAATTATGCTCAGAGAACTTACAAATTTTTCCTTGTGGAATCTTCGCCCTTGCTTGATTAATAGCTCTTGCTATCGACGTGAAGAGAGTATATGACTAAAAGGGAGACAAGGAAGTGCTCAAAATATTCAAAAATTATCCATTCCAAGGAAAAAGATTATTGTTCGTATAGATCGCTTCAATAAAAATGCCAATTGGGTAGAAACTGAAATCACCCAATAGGGATAAGGGAAGAGTTGAAGCCTACTGCCTCAGGTGAGGAATAGAAGCCAAGACAAACTTACATCAACAGCAGCGACTAGGAATGGACGACGCTGTTTGTTAATGAGAACTTTGAAGACGATTATACTCTGCTGTGATGACGTTGTTACATTGATGATTTCATCATACCACCAGCGAAACAGCACATCTCCTTCCATCGAGCGAATTAAAAAGAAATCGGCGTAGATCTATGCAGAAAAAGAGAGAATTCAAAAACCTTGATGCATGTAAATAATTATTTGGTAAAATTTGCCAATTCATTCCCATCTTTTTATGACCAATACTGCTGATTAGATAAAAGTCCAAATGATATGCACTTCACCAATTAAATTAGCTATATTCTGTGGCACATATAATGCGCAGAATTCACAGTACGGCCAAGACAAACCTCCATCATCCGCATTTTAGTGTACTCCTCGCATTCCAGACATACACTAAACGTTTCAGGTGCATTCTGTCGACTGCCAATAGGTAGAAGATCAATGTCATTACCTCTCTAGAAGAAGAAAAAGGAAATGAAAATAGCATTAACCCAACTGGACCACAAGGTTCCAGAGATTCAAAGAAACTGTTGCCTACCAGCCATTCAAGACAATCAAGTAAATGAGTAATCTTCTGTGTATAATGCAAGCCTGTATGGCTCTTAGCGATAAGTCGACGAATCTTCCTTCGAATGAGATCAGAGGGAACCTGTGCCATGACCATGAAGGCGATAAGGTTATGCATCACTCCTGTAAGCAGGGAGTCTTCAGCCAACTCCAAACTCTTCTTACTAATTGTCCCAAGCTGTGAGTAGTGCTGCAGTTGTCCAGTTGGATCAAAATCCATTCCCATTAGATCTCTCTCCTGGGCCACTGTGTCAAGAAATAGATCCTCCCAGAATTGCATACTTGTCCACAACTTAGATTCCATAGAATTAACCATAGCTTCCTCAAACAAGTAAGTTTGGCCAATCTTGGATCGTAGTTGATCAGGTTTAAGATCTTGTATTCCAACTTCTTCTAAATTCGTTGTTTCCGATGAAACATCGGAAACTTCTGACTGGCTTTCAGGTGTGAACGAGGTGCTGGGTCGCCGAGCTGTGCTGGTTGATCGTTGTTCAGCAAGGCTGATTCGAAGAGTTGGGACTGAGATACAGGGGGGAGCTGTTTCTACTGTCGGGGAAACGTGGGAGGCCATTTGGAATAGACGACCGTGCCGATACCTTACAGAAAAAAACAAAAAATCATACTAGCACATGGCTCCTAAACTTTCATGCTCAGTGTCTTTGATCAAATAAAAATGTCATTTAAAGTGATAGGCAAGATTCAATGGGCTAATGGTAAATTGACTGTTTGCATATCAAAGAATAAATGGTAGTGGGGAATTAGATTGAAGAATGATGCAAATTTTGCCAATTACTGTGAACAATCTCGTCAATGATTAGGAGTATAAGATTTTAACACATATTTCACTTATAAAAAGTTTCAATTGGCAAGACTGTCCACCATGATTGAAAAAACTTTTCTCTAACCAATGGGGTACCCCACGGATATACTGCTGACTTAGTTACCCAAAGCACATTTTCAGAATCGCGTTGATGTCTCAGTAACACGAAAAAATTCTTCTGAAAGATAATCAAATGATCAGTTTAATCAAATGGGACACATACTTACTTATGAATTTAAACAAGACAATTATTGAAATTCAGGGGTATGTGGTAGACTTAACTCCACGTATGCTCATACGGCAAACCGACAATTGGCTTCAAACTACCATGACTCGACTGCATGTCATTTCCGAACACTCCCACAGTACTCACCTTATCTTACCTTTTTCTATACCTTTGTGCCTGTCTGTCACTTTTACATCTGTAACCTAGGGGGTGTGCGATAGACTTGCCTCCATGTAGTGCACCCTGGACAACGTTTACTCATATGGCAAAAAAGTCTACTAACTGGCAGTTGACATCTAACTTCAAACTACCATGACCCCACAGTATGTCATGTTCGACTCCTTTCCACAGTACTCATTTGGCCTTTTCTCGGCCTTTGTGTCTGTCTGTCTGTCTATGTTACATCTGTGAATCGCTCTTCTTTTCCCGTCGAATTTTTCTTACTTTAATGTTCCTCCCTTCTGAGAAGAACGAAGTCGGCAAAAGGGCTAATGATAGCATGCCTGCCATTTGAAAAAACATCTATAACCTACTCTTCTGGTTACCTCACGACTTTTTGTGACTTTGATATTCCCCTCCTCTGTGAAGCCCGAAGTCAACTAGAGGGCTAATGATAACTATCATAACGCCTGTCATTTAATGCAATTTATTGAAATTCAATAGAGAAGATGAACAAATTAATAAATTCAGATCGCAAACAAGGTAGAGTAAGCCACTATTGCCAACCTTTACCCAATCCCATCTCGTTTCTTTACTACCCCTGGGGTTCGGCAGTTTCTTCTGCTAAGATTAAATTTAAAATTTTG